AATGCTTTCATAGAATGAATTTGGAAGATTTCTTTCCTCTTTCGTTTCTTGCCATAGTTACAGAAGAGACAGTATTAACTCTTCAAATGCTTGGTAGAATTCACCTGTGAAGCAGTCTGGGCCTGGACTTTTTGGGGGGTAGTTTCTTGATAACTGTTTCAATTTCATTGCTGGTAATTGGTCTATTCAAATTTTCTATTCCTAATTCAGTTTTGGGAGTTATAGGTTTCTAGGAATTTATTCTAGGAATTTATTCCAGGTTGTCCAATTTGTGGCATATGATTCTTCATAATAGTCTCTTAAAATCGTTTGTATTTCTGTGCTGTCAGTTTTTATTTCTCCTTTTTCATTTGATTTTGTTTATTTGAGTCCTCTCTCTCTCTCTTTTTTATGAGTCTGGCTAGAAGTTTATCAATTCTGTTGATCTTTTCCAAGAACTGGCTCCTGGTTTCATTGATCTGTTCTATTGTTTTGTTTTTGTTTTTGTTTCTATTTCCTGTATTTCTGCTCTAATATTTATTATTTTCTTCCTTCTGCTGCTTTTGGGTTTTGTTTGCTCTTTTTCTAGCTCCTTTAGGTGTAAGGTTCGGTTGTTTATATAAGATTTTTCTTGCTTCTTGAGATAGGCCTGCACTGCTATAAACTTCCCTCTTAGAACTGCTTTGCTGCATTGCAAAGATTTTAGACTGTTGTGTTTCATTTTAATTTGTCTCCATGTATTTTTTAATTTTCTCTTTGACTTTTTGGTTGACCCATTCATTTCTCAGTAGCATGTTATTTAACCTTCATGTATTTGTGTTTTTCCACATTTTTTCTTGTGGTTGATTTCTAGTTTCATAGCACTGTCGTAGGAAAAGATATATGGTATGATTTTGATCTTTTTTAATTTGCTGAGATTTGTTTTGTGGCCTAATATGTGATCTATTTTGGAGAATGTTCCATGTGCACTTGAAAAAAATGTGTATTCTGCTATTTTAGGATGGAATGTTCTGAATATATCTGTTAGATTTATCAGGTCCAATGTGTCATTCAAAGCCTTGTTAATTTTCTGTTTGGATGATCTATTCATCCAAACAGAAAGTGGGGCATTAACATTCCCTATTATTACTGTATTACTAGCAATTACTTCCTTTATATTTGTGATGAGCTGCTTTATGTATTTAGGATCTCCCATATTTGGGTGCATAAATATTTACAGTTGTTATATCTTCTTGTTGGATTGTTCCTTTTATAATTATATAGTGTCCTTCTTTGTCTCTTGTTACATTCTTTGTTTTAAAATCTAATTTGTCTGATATAAATATTGCTATCTTTTTTTTTCACTTCTGTTTGCATAATAAATGTTTTTCCATTCCTCCCCGCTTTCAATATGCACGTGTCTTTAGGTCTGAAATGAGCATTACCTTGATCTCTTCTTTTGTAATGTCTTTATCTGCATTTTGTTACTTGTTTTATGATTGTTTTTGTAGTTCTTCTCTGTTCCTTTCTTCTCTTGCTTTATTCTCTCTCAGTTTGCTGGCTTTCTTTAGTGATATACATGGATTCCTTTCTCTTTATTTTTTGCATATCTATTAGTGGCTTTTGATTTGTGGTTTGTGGTTCTATTAGGTTTGTATATAACATATTATGCATATAACAATCTATATTAAGTTGATGGTTGTTTATGTTTGAACCCATTCTTTACTCTTTTCTCCCTCACTTTTTAGGTATATGGTATTATACTTTATATCCTTTTATTTTGTGAATCCCTTGACTGATTTTCATAGATATAATTGATTTTACTGCTTTTGTGTTTCCTACTTTTCCTACTCCTACTTATGCTCTTTCCTTTCCATTCATCATCTCTTGTAGGACTGGTTTTGTGGTCATGAATTCCTTTAACTTTTGTTTGTTTAGGAAACTCTTTATCTCTCCTTCTAGTTCGAATGATAGCCTTGCTCAATAGCATATTCTTGGCTGCAGGTTTTTTCCTTCCACACTTTGAATATATATATCATGCCACTCTCTTCTAGCCTGCAAAGTTTCTGCTGAAAAATCAGCTGACAGCCTTATGGGGTTTCCCTTGTATGTAACTATTTTCTCTGGCTGCTTTTTTTTTTTTTTTTTTTTTTTTAGATGAAGTGTTCCATGATTCATTGTTTGTGCACAACACCCAGTGCTCCATGCAGAATGTGCCCTCCTCAATACCCACCACCAGGCTAACCCATCCTCCCACCCCCCTCCCCTCTAGAACCCTGTTTGTTTTTCAGAGTCCATCGTCTCTCATGGTTCGTCCACCCCTCCGATTTCCCCTGCCTCATTCTTCCCCTCCCGCTACCTTCTTCTTCTTCTTCTTTTAAAATTCTCTCATTATCACTACTTTTTGCCATTTTAATTATGATGTGTCTTGGTGTGGACCTCCTTGGGTTGACTTTGCTGGGGGCTCTCTGTGTCTCCTTGATCTGGATTTCTGTTTCTTTCCCCAGATTCAGGAAATTTTCAGCTATTATTTCTTCAAATAAATTTCTTGTCCCCTTTTCTCTCTCTCCCCCTTCTGGAATCCCTATCATGTGAATATCATTATGCTTGATGATGTTACTGAGTTCCCTAAGTCTATTTTTATTTTTTCTTATTATTGTTTTTTCTCTCTCTTGTTCAGTTTGATTGCTTTCCATTACTCTGTCCTCTAGGTCACTGATCCTTTCTTTTACTTCCTCTAGTTAGAGTTTATTCCAACTAATGTATTTTTAATTTAAGTTATTGAGCTCTTCATCTCTGATTCATTCTTTTTTATGTTTTCTATCTCTTTGTTAAGGGTCTCACTGAGGTTTTCCACCTTTTTCTCAAGCCCAGTGAGTATCTTTATCTTTATCACCATTATTTCAAATTCTCTATCAGGCATATTACTTATCTCCATTTCATTTAGGTCTCTTGCTGTCATTTTGTTCTGTTCTTTCATTTGGAACATATTCCTCTGTCTCCTCATTTTGGTTATGGCTTTAATTTTACCCTGAAATAAAAGTAGGATGCCTCACTAAACTATGAAACGATTGTAACACTATAATTTTTACATTGTGTCTTTTTAGAGGACATGCTTGATATGTTTCAGCCCTGGGTTCTGGGTTCAATTATTTTCTTGGGTAAGAAGTTAATGAGACACAGGACACAGCCCTCAACCTTCAGAGGGTGAGCTCTGAGCCTGGACCCTGCTCTTGCAATAAGTAATTTCTCTCTCATTGCCATCTCCCCACAAAGGTTCTGAATTTATTTCAGTATGTGCTTAGTTCTTTCAGTCCTTGAAAGAGAGCCCAATTTGCTCTCACTAGTCTTATAAGAGGTTCCAATTCCAAACTCCAGTCCCAAACTTTAGTACTTGCAGCAGGTGCCACTCCCTCATACTGTTGTTAGAATTCCCTGAATTGACTCCCTGTCTACCTACACTCCACCTACTGCTGAAAGTTACATCTCTGTTGCTCTAACAGCTGGTCTCCACGTCTTCCCTTGCCTTTGGAGAGAACTTTGTGAAAGGTCTGTCTAGTATTGTTGTGTTATAATTAATACTGTTATTATTATTGGCAGCCTCCATTTACCCATATAGACTTTGATCCTTCCATTAGCCTTCAAGAGCTCTGAGAAAAGAGAAGCATTAAACTTAAAATAAAAATACATTAGTTGGAATAAACTCTAACTTTTTTTTTTCCCCATTCTCTCAGGCCAAGGTTGATGGAGTGTTTGGTCCTGAATAAATAAATGAATATACAGGGAACTAACCACATACTAGGCATTACTGCACATACTCTATACAACTCTAAGTAGGTAACTACCAACACTACTTTTTAACTGAGGACACTGAGACTCAGATAAATTAACAGCTAACAAGATAAATTAGCAGATAATTACAGTTAAGTAGATGAGCTAGGATTTACAACCATGTCTGTCTGATCCCCAAACCAGCTCACTCTCCACAGTGCCATGATGTCTTGCCTCCATGATTGGTTTTTCCTACTCTGGCCTATTTTGCTGATCATCACTGAGCTCTAGTTATGGCATTCTCACTGATTTGTTCATTGTTTCTAAGAGAAAATAGTTTAAAATATTTTACTGAATATATATTTATACCTATACTATATTTATCCATCTATTAATCATCTATCTATCATGAATCCTTCCACAGGGGCATTTAGAAAAAATACACTGCCCAATATGTATTTGTACAGAATTGTACTTTTGAAAAAAAAAATTGAACATGCATTAGCAATTCCTATTGGTGACCTGGATTCAGGTAATTTTTATGGGTTTTCTCATCATTCTACCTATAAGAAAGTCTGAAGTCATGAAATTTAGAGATATCTCACTATTTTAGGATTTTTTTTTTTTTTTTTAGAATTATAGGCCTTCTTCTCTAGGGAAATCAATAATAAATCTATTATCACCTGAACACCAAATATGATTTTTAAAGAACCTTTTTATCTGAAAGGGTATTGCTAGCCATTTGATCTCATCCAAATGACCTACTGACACAATTAGTAGTTATGTTTCAGTCCAGTAGAACCTTAAAAACAATTATAGGCTTTTGAGAAATAGTCTGCAATACAAAACTGCTGCTATTCTGAGGATGAGTAAAGAGTCTATTGTTCTTGAGTGGAAACATCAGATAATCTGGGACCATTTAATTTAAAGTTCATCTTTTCCCAGTCTTTTCTATTCAAAACATATAAGCTTATTCAAGCTGACGTTTTGTATCATGTGGTGCATTTTTACAAGAATTTAATTGTAATAATCTTATTTTTTAAGGCATGACCTAGTTCTTTTAAATTCACATGCTGAAGAAAATAGAGAGAAGATAATATATGTGAAAATACAGTTGGAAATACATAGCTATGCTTCACACATCTGATGGCTAATTTAAACAGTGTTGAGAAGGGAATGTATTACATAGTAATTAAAGGAAGAAGGTTTTAATAAGGTATCTAATTTAGAAACTTTTCTAGTTCTATTTCATAACCAACATCACAACTCACGTCCACAGGCTTGCCATCAGAAGCTCGTGCAGCAATAACAGTCCTTCCACGAAGGTCCACAGTGTCCTTTTCATCTATATGCCGGCTTGCAATTAAATTACAATCCATATAGAGTGAAATGCCCCGGGATTGTAAACCAATGCCAAGTTTATGCCATTGACGATCAAACAAAGGACGGAGTTCTCGATTTTTAAAAATGTAGTTCAACACATCTCCCTCAGGAGCTCGGAACATAAATTCCACCACCTTCTTTCCACCATCAACTACTATAGAAACCTGCAAAAATGCAAATCAGCAAAAATGTTTTAAAACCAGTGTTCAAAATTACTAAAGCACACAAATTAAAAATTAGAGATACATGTTGGTATAATTGAGGCACTTAGCAAAATGTTTTAGATGATATCTGTGTCTACCAGATTTGTTAATACCAAAGAACAGCAAATATCCAGCTACAAAAATGTTTTAAACATGGGGCATTCTGGTGAATGTAACATGTTTCTTTCTTGAGAGAACATCTGAGGGTATATATTTATATGTATGGGTATATCTAAATATATATATATATATATATATACACACACACACACAATTCTGTATGAGTAATTCAAGAATTAAATGTTACTTAATTTAAAAAGAATAAGAATAGGATCACTTCTCTTAGCATGGAAACTGAGATCGACTTCTTGAAACTTTGATGATTTGCATGGTGCAGAGAAAATGCCTTTTCATAAAGGATATACTCTTAGTTCAGTTCATCTTTCCATCATAAAATTGTGACTGTATTAACAGATTAAAAGACCAGTGAAATGAAAAACATCTCAGTGGATATGTATAGAAATAAACACAAATGTAAAGTGCCAGTAAGTAATACTGAGGTTCATCTCCCCCCCACCTGGAGTCCTTGCACAGTCACCTTTCTGCCCATGTCATCTCTTGCACAAGTATTCCTGGATTCCTTCTCCCTGTGCCCCATTTTAGGAAGCTTCCCTTTCTATGCTCCCATAGTCCCCACTCAACTCTGAGCTTACCTCTACCACTGTATCTTTCACACTGCGATTATGCTCTAGTATATTGTTCTCCTAGATGCCATCCCCTTAGACCTTATGCTCCCTAAGAAAGGAATTACACTTTTAAAAATCTCTTCTCTTGGTCACTAACTCGCATGTAGCATGTGTTCATTAACTTTTTATTGATGGAATCAATATTTATATCCCACCTCTTCACTCACTACAGACTTTCAAATGAAATAATGAATGACTGATTTTAAAATAATACATATCAGGAATGATAGGATATAAAGAAGTTATTAGTGAGGTGGACTTAGTGTCAATGAAGCAGTTTTGAAAGAAGGGTCGTTTGAGTGTCTTTAGAGAAAATATGAATCATATTACAGATCTCAGCAAGATCATCCTAACTATGAGAATACTTGCATGTCCCTGTTAATGATTCCTCTAAAAGAAAATTCCGATACTAGATCTGCTTCCAAATTTGTGCATACCATGCCAAGATTCACCTGGCATAACCACATAGGAGAAAACTAATCAGCACAACTCTATGGTTCCTGACCTGTGGTATATTCTGTTGGTTTAAAACCTGCCACAGGAACCACCGTTCCTTTTTGGTGCTTCTTCGTACTCGAAACATAGCTGCTATGGCATACTCATCAGGAAGGCCTTTGGGAAATATCTTACTGGGGAAGGAAAACAAAGAATTATTGTGAGAACACTGAGGATGGTGAGGAAAGAAAATCTAGGTATGAAGTTCTTTGTAACACGGTATTTCTTTCCCATCACAATAAAACAGTCTCTAAAACGGAATTTTCTCTATAGAGTCACCCTTAATAAACTAAATTTCACAATGACCATTACTGTACTGCTTTAAGTAACATTGTTCATTAAAAAGCAAATAGAATGCTAATTCCACTTCCGGTCTGACTCTGGCGTCTTTGCTGAGAGTCACAGTGAGCTGCCAGCTGCTTCAGGGGAGTCTTTAGGAGTCCGCACCATGGTGGAAGACACCAAGTCCAAAATCAGGAACTACCAGACTGTCTCTTTTGACTGCTGCTTCCCCAACCAGAACCAGACCAGGAACGGCTGGCAGAACAGCAGACCTCCACTGCTAAAAGAGGTGATGTCTCCATGTGTGGATGGTACTGGCGTGTGGACAATCCTTCTGCCCCATAGCCTGAATGTCAGCCTGGGACAACCACGGGGCAGAAGGCACATCTCCTGGGAAGATCCGAACTGGCTCCCCCTACCTCTACTTTGTCTTCCATCCTTCTCCCAGGTTGGTGAAGGGGGACCTGGGTACATGGTGATCCCCACCCTGGGATCCTGAATCATGGCTGAATTAATAACAAATCCTCATTGGAAAAGTGTAAGACCTTGTATGTGTAAAAGAGCTGGATGGGCAGTCAAGAAGCCAGGGTGGAAGTAGTACCTTGACCAGTAAGAAGGACTTCAGAGTAATGGTTTTTTTCCATTTTGTTTTATGTTATTAAACTGACCCCCTTCTCCATACCAGACAATAGAGTGAATGACTATATAAAATAGCCTCAAGCCCCTGTATGTGCTAAAATGTATCTGTATATCCCCTTTATTATCTATACAATTTCAAAAAATTTTTCTTATGTAATTTTTGAACCACATAAAAATAGTATAATAAAAACTCTTGTGGGGGCACCTGGTTTATCAGTTGGTGAAGCATGGGAGTCTTGATCTCATGGTTGTGAGTTTGAGTCACACACTGGGTGTAGAGCTTACATAAAAAGTAAACAAACAAACAAACAAAAACCTTCCTGTGTACCCAAATAAATAAATAGATAACAAAACAATGTGGCTTTGATGCCTGCCATTTCTCTTTGGGACCACCTATAAACCTCAAGGTGAGCACAAGTATAGTTGAGAGGTGATGCCAAAACACAAACATCCAAATGACCATTTTGAACTAGTTAGTTGCATCCAAACTCCTTTTAAAAAGGAAACCTCAACACACACAGCAGGTACCCACTCCACCCCCACATGCAGTAATTTGTGTCTCCATCTTTCTTCTAATTTCCTGCCTCCTTTTCCCCACTCTCCACCTTCATGCTTTCAGGATCATATCTTTATTTCAAGTGTTCTGGAATTTGACAATACTATTTCCTGGGATTTTGCTTCCACTCATTGTATTAAACACATCTTTGAATATGAATTGCACATTACTGAAAAAATTTTTTTGTAAGTTTTTATTATTTTTTTATACAATCTTATCTTCTCTTTTGGGAACTTGTTTTTTAGACAACCATTTAACACCTTTTTTTTTTCATTTTTTTATTATGTTATGTTAATCACCATATATTACATCATTAGTTTTTGATGTAGTATTCCATGATTCATTGTTTGCATATAACACCCAGTACTCCATGCAGAACGTGCCCTCTTTAATACCCATCACCAGGCTCACCCATCCTCCCATCCCCCTCCCCTCTAGAACCCTCAGTTTGTTTTTCAGAGTCCATAGTCTCTTAACAATCTATTCTACTATGCTACTTTCTGGGATATTTCCTTGATTTATTTTCCAATCCATCTATGCAACACCAATTTTTGTTATTTTCTTATTACCAGGATTCTCTTTTGTTCTCTTTTAAAAATTATCCTGAATGCAATATTTTTAAATCCCTGATATAATCAATTAGGTGGGTTTTTTAATGTTTCTCTCTGCATCCTTGAATATCTTCATTTCATCCAGATTAGTGTTTCCTGTTTGATAGTTTGGCCTCTCTCTTCCATGCTGGAAGCTACACTCTAATTTCTGATGGTTTTTTATAATCCATATGTAATTAAGGAAGAAGCACTGAACTTTGATTGCAAGCTTCATGTATGTGTCACAGTGTATCAATGAACAACTTCACTGCATAGCATGATCAGCTGGCGGATTTCACTGCAAGTCCCTCAAATGTGAATGTAGAAAGATTAGTTTTCTAAGGACATTCAGTTTCTCCAAAGAAGAATCTTCCTATGTCCTACTTGGTAAAGAGTATTCACCTGGATGCAGGCATTCTAGAAGCAGAGCAGGCACAGTTTGGTACAGAATTTTGTTTCATCCCTCTGTTTTTGGTGCCATGCCTCTTTCCTGCCTTCACTATCCTGCTTACCTTGCATCTGGAGGCTCTCTGGCTCAATTTCTCTCAATAATAAGTCTAATAAACCTCTCACCTTTTGTCTGGTTGTAGGAGGAAAAAGGAGGTACACTACACCCACACACACATCCCTCACCAGTTTCTGCAGAGGCTGGTTCCCCCAAGTGATAAGTCTCTCAGGTGTCCACTGAAGTCAACTGGCCCACATCTCACTAGCCAGCCCAGCAAAACATAGGTTCTAACATCTTCCAACTGCTTTTTGTATTCAAAGAATGTATTGTAATCTTTCTTTCTCTTTGTTCCAACTCCCTTTCTACAGTCAATTTTGCATTTTAGAAGGTTAAAAGTCCTTTCAACTCTTTAACCTTTCCCTCTCCAATGCCCCTTTAATCTTGGTTTAGAAACAGATGCATATCCTCCCCTGCTACAAAGTAGACAAAACTTCCTTCAACCTTGCTACATCATTGTATCACCCTCTCATCTATTCACGAACCTTCTTACACAAATATCTTAATATCTGCATTGTTACTACCCACTTAGTCCTTAACTCTCTTGCATTCTAAAAGCATTTCCAATCAGCTAATCTACTGGCCTCTTCTCAATCTCCATTCCCCTCAATCCTTCTAAAGGTTTTAACACTGAAGATATCCTTTCCTCATTGATATAAACCAGGAGTCACAACCACAGGCGTATAGGACCCAGCCAGGAAACTGGAACGTAAGTTTCCTGAGGTTGGTTGTCTATACTATTCACCTTGTTCCTGGCATCTAGAGCCGTGCCTGCACAAGGTGGGTACTCAATAAGTATTAAATGAGGGCGCCTGGGTGGCTCAGTTGGTTAAGTGACTGCCTTCGGCTCCGGTCATGATCCCGGAGTCCCTGGATCGAGTCCCGCATCGGGCTCCCTGCTCGGCAGGGAATCTGCTTCTCCCTCTGACCCTCCCCCCTCTCATGTGCTCTCTCATTCTCTCTCTCTCAAATAAATAAATAAAAAATCTTTAAAAAAAAATATGCATATAAGAAAATTTCACTCTCCTCTTAAGACTTTTATAAAATAAAACAAAACAAAACAGGGGTGCCTGGTTGGCTCAGTTGGTTAGGCGTCTGCCTTCTGCTCAGGTCATGATCCTGGGGTCCTGGGATTGAGCCCCGCATCAGGCTCCCTGCTCAGTGGGGACCTTCTCCCTCTCCCTCTGCCACTAACCCCTGCTTGTGCTCACTCTGTCAAATAAATAAATAAAATCTTAAACACACACACACACACACAAAACGGAGGAAGTGAGTTAATAAGAGCAACCGACACCCATCCTCATGTAGAGGTCACAAGTGTTACCTGGGGGAAAATAAGAGCCCAACCCATCTATAGGGGGCAGCTGCTGCTTAGCTCCAGCCAATTGTTACCTTATGGGAATGTGGGCCCAGTGTTGCCAGATGATCCTATTTTTCTTTCTTTTTTTTTAAAAGATTTTATTTATTTATTTGAGAGAGAGAGAATGAGAGAGAACACATGAGAGGGGATAGGGTCAGAGGGCAAAGCAGACTCCCTGCCGAGCAGGGAGCCCGATGTGGGACTTGATCCAGGGACTCCAGGATCATGACCTGAGCCGAAGGCAGTCGCTTAACCAACTGAGCCACCCAGGCGCCCCGATCCTATTTTTCAAGAGACGCTAAATTACTCAGATTTTTATCTGAAAAGTTTAGAGTTTCATTTTGTCAATCGACTCAGATTTTTCATAAACACTGTCCAGACCAACACTGTGCAAATGAAGCGAAAACAGTGACTGCTTATGTTGGCACACTTGATGTGACAAAGCAAAAAATCATGAAAACACCTTTCTTCTTACTAGTTAGGATTTTGGACATAAAGTCACCTGTCCCATCTCTTCATGAGATTGGAAGCTTTTGAAGGCAAGGAAGCATTTCTTTGTATCACCCACAAAGCCCAAGTGCAGTGCCACCAGGGCACTCTATAACTGTTTGTTAAAGAATGAGTGACCTAGCAAATGAAACAGATGCACTTAATTTTGATAGAGTTTTTTACTATTTCATATTTTTAAATAATTCATAATATTTCATAAATATAATTATTTTTCAAAAATTTACAATCTAATTCAAAATTGAAAATATATCTCATGAAAGGTTCCTTCTGTAACAAAAAATAATAAACCAAAATATTATTAATATTAATAATGTTAATATACAATAAATACAATCTTAATACACTGAAGTAAATTTAGTTATGTTTACAGAAAAACTGATTTTTTCTTAGTCTAAGTTTATAATGGATAAAAATCCTTATAATTACTGTATTTTCCTTTCAATAATTCTTGCTTTACTTTCAAAGCCAAAAATGATTTTGCTTGCCAAAATTGTAAATTTTGAAGGAAAATTTCTCTATTTTAAAAACAGTATATTATAAAATGTATCAGCTCTTATAGACTATGTTTCTTGTTTATACTGCACAAGCACACTTAATGTGATACAGAATAATTTCACTGGGTCTTGCCAAAGTTTCTATTATAAAAGAGGCCATATTGGATTACTGGTCTGTTACCAGAGAGATATAATGAC